TCTAGCCGGGTCGGGTATCTCATAAGTGCCTGGTCCAACTCTGATGGAATATAGCAACGTGTAAAACACACTCTCTGTCTAATCACATGAATTAAGTGTTGTAGTCAATCAAAATTGGCTCGTTTTGCGTGTTGCCGTTCCAGAAATTTCAAGTCATTAGAACGTAGTAGCTTGGAGTTTTTATTCTTTCTTAATCTCATGATTACTCTATAAGACCTTCGGTAAATCTCCTTAATTTATATTAACAATAAAAATCACCAAAGTTTCTTGAAGCATGTGTTTTTGTCCAATAGACCCCAAAATGAGAAAGAGAGTATTGACATCACCCGCCGTCGCACCCAAGAATCAATTGGTGTACAGGTCGGAGCCGTACCATCCTCTCTCTCTGCCATGTCTAGACAGAGAGTACACTTGTCAAGAGATTAATAAGAGAACGTGGGACTCTATACCTTCCGGATGATCCGGAGTTACCCTTCTTTTGTGGTCAAGTGCTTATTTTTCTCTCCAATACTAAAATTCTTTTAAGGAAATTGATTTGAGAGGGCTGCTGCCTTGTCAAAATAGGCATGGCCTCACCTCAAAATTCACAAAAAATTACTCTCCTCGTGTCAGAAGCATAGTTGGCAAGTCTATGATTAAACGCGACTTTTTCAAAAACAGCTCCGATTTTTTGAAATACCTTTAGAACTCTGATTTATTCAAACGATCTTCAAAAAATCACGACTTTTTAATAGAACGAATTTAAATCCGTATTTTATCTTTTTTCAAAAAAGATTTTCAAAAAAATTTCTTCCCTAAAACTTTATTTCTTCATTAACTTAATATTATTGAATTTTGATTTAAAGATAACTGCATTAACAGTGGGAGTAAATTAATATTCTTGATTTAATTTAAAATTCCATCAACAATTCACCAATGAGTTATCTTAAAAAAAGTGTACCAAAACTACAAGCAAATATTCCTAAAAAAAAAAAGATCATATATTTTAAAATAATAGGCAAAATTAGAAGAAGGACAACTTAATTAAAAATCTATTTTTTTTTTTTACTTTAAATCCATAATGTTTTTGTAAAGAGCGAGAGAGAGATTCAATCATACTAAAGATTTAGGTAGCTATTCAGTGCGAGATTCAAATTTTATTGAGCATTTTTTTTTTTTTATGCATAAAAGAGTTTGATTAATTTTATATTTTGCTTTTTATTTTTATATTTTATTGGTGTGTACAACATAGCATTTTGGATGGAACATTATTTCATATATTTGGGTATTTGTGATTTTTTTTTAATTAGCTGCAATCTTATATTGAGGGCTTTTTTTGTTTTAGAAATAATCCTGTACATTGGTTCACAGTTCTTATTATTTATTAATTAGTTCTTGTATTTAGTATTGTTGTTGTTGTTCCGTTTTATGCTCGCAGTAGATTTACGATGTGACAAAAAAGTCAGCATTGTTGCTATATTTATTTAAAATTTCAACAAAAAATTGTAAAGTATTATTCTAATGTCACTCGTAAGGCTATAAAATTATTGTTTAGTGGCCGTAGTATATCTATACAATAGCTGCAAATCATAATCCTATATTTTATCATCTTTACATATCCGATTTTTTCACAACATTTTTTTTAACCAAATCCGAAATATTCACAATTTTATAGCTTACATTATTTTTGGTGATCCGTTTTTTTTTACTCGATTTTTTCCTCCGACTTTTTGAAATAAAATCAATTTGTTGCCGATGTTTTGGTGTGCCGATATTTTATTATCCCCTAACTTGCTAACTATGGTCAGAAGACATTCAAATTAATCATCTCAACCTTGACTGGTATGGTTGTGAAAAAAATTAAGATTTCAGGCCTTAAAAAAAATGTATATTGTCACACATTATCTAGACGGTCCATTTCACCCTAAAAATAAGTGTTCACAAATCCACAAGATCTGTAACATTTATTAAGTTTCAAATTTCATTGTCGGTATTGAAAATTAATTTTAGAGCCATCATGGAATATCCGTAGCAGGGCTTTGCATCTTCTTCTTCTTCTTCTTCTTCTTCTTTTCTTTTGTTTTTATTTTTATTTTTATTTTTTTTATTTTTTATTTTTTATAAAGCTTAGGCCTTATACAAATTGCATCCATCTTTTAAGACAATGAAATGAACTTGGGCTGGGGTAAGAACCGTGCTAGGAGGATTTTTAAGATCTTGTATTTTAGGATATAATCTTTTAAACCTTGCATTCAATATTAGAAAAAAAACAAAAAAAAATCATATAACAAGGTATAAGTGCCAATGCAAAAACGTCTCAAGATTAAACAAGCACAATCCAGTTTTCAGGTGACAAGATTAAAGTGGTAAAGAACTTGAAATCTTGTTTTTTTTTTAATCTAAAAATTCATCATTTAAAATAATCATCTATGGATCCTAAAATTTCATTAAAAAATTCTCATCAATTATGTCTCTTGCCTAAAGGAGTAAGTGTACTCCCATAGGAACATGATAGACGCACCATTGGATTGCACAAAGGAGAAACTACTTGTGAAGGGGGATTTCTATTCAGAAAAAGTGTTTTTGTGAGTCAGTGGACTCACTAGCTCGCACAATCACAAATGTGCATCTTTAAGATGAACTTCCACAACGAAAGATGCCTATCCAATCGATAAGAAGTTATTATGATACAAATATTTTAAAACTTTATTTTATTTTAAAATACAAATCACTACAAATTTGGATCCATGATCAATAAATAATGGGTGTTCAAGAGAGCCCGTATGAAAATAGTATGAGTCGGAACCATGATAGGTGGATTTTGACAAATAGCTTTATACCCAAAAATAAATAAATAATAATTATGAGCTCTTCAAATTGTAGATCTTATTGCGAATGAATGGACGGTCTAGACTTATATAGTTTAATTTAGAGCTGCCGTGACAGACTTCTGGGGTCCGTCAATGATTCAGAAATGGACAGTTCCATCAAATTCCTTTTAACCTCAAACCACTATTCATTCGTAAGAGAGTCTCTCAGCAAAAGAAGCCATAGTCCATTGGGGTCATGACCGTCAAAATGGGACTACCGATGGTGGACACCTATTGGAAGCCACCAAAAGAGAATGTGAATTCTTCCCATCATGGTGCGTTATATAATTGGGCAGTCATGACGAAAGTGGACTATGGTTTACCATAGTCCACCACATTTGTACTAGTTTTGCTTCCATCCCTATTTTATTTTTGAAGAGAGGATGTAGTTTCTATAACCCTAGGCTCTATGGAAAAAACAGTAAAGCCTCACTTGGAATTTTCGTCCGAAAGCACTTTGAGCATCGAAAATCTTCATAGTGACTCTAAAATCAATTTTCAACCTTAGTTATGAAATTTTTTTTGAACCTCAAAAAAATGCTACAAATCATGTGGATTCGCAAAACACTTATTTTTAGGGTAAAATGGATGGTCTAAATAATTTTTAGGGTTTGAAATATTTTTTATTTTTATTTTTTTGACAATCATAATAGTGAAAGCCAAGATGATTCATTTGGAAGTTTTTTTTAGGCTAGATTGGCAATTTTTGAGGAGTTTTGGAGAGGGTTGTTCTCTTATCAAACAATTTTTCTTGAATAAACCCTCTAACCTATAACATAACTCTGCACCCAAAATTTTCTATATTTTCTTTAGGAAGAGACTATTTATCGTTTATATATATAGTGGTCAAAATTATTCTTGTCTCTTAAATTTTAAGATGTAAGAGTGTCATTTAGCAACCACAAAGTTCCAAAAACTAAAATTCTTCGGACTTTATAATTCATGCCAAGCCATCTATTTTGACATCTAATGAGTAAGAATGATTATATCTCCATATACAAAAAAATATATATATATATAATATATTTTTAGACTATCGCTTTTCTTTATTACATTAACAATGCCCCTTAATGTATTTTATTCCGGTATCTAACGCGCTTTGGCACAATCATGAAATCTCTGTCTTTCTCTATCTTAAATTCACATTGGGCTTTGACGCCCCAGGAAATGATATTTACATGACAACAATCCCCTATACATTTTATAATATAAAAAAGGAAACAATATCTATCCATTTTGGGCCCATGATTCCATTTTTCTACATTACTTTTTGTCTTGAAACAAAAATATCCACACACCGTACACACGAGAGTCTCCCCCTGCCGGACTTCTCCAGCCCATTCTCTCCTAACTCGCTTGACCTGCTTCGTCACACCGTATTTGATTCGCCAACGTTTTTAATATATATATATATATATATATATGTACATAAAAGGTTAAAGAAGCATCACTTTTTTACCACTACCCCAACTTAATCCCACTTGTAATAGTAGCTGCAATACATAATAGAAAATGGTTTCAATTTTATATTATTAAAGTACGGTGCACCTTAAAAATCCTATATTTCGGTGTTAGAGAACCCTCCAACAAATCATCTCAACTTCGAGGTATATGGACGTGTAGAAAAGCAAGAATTTCAAATTAAAAAAATTGTGCATCTTGTGACAAGTTTTATAGGGAGTATATTTTTAAGATGGGAAATGACTTTGTGAGATTCTCCCACACTCATGTGTATAGGATATCAAATGATCACTATTAAATTTGACACAGATATTTAAAAAAGTCAAGTCTTACATTCATCTGACAATTTTTCTAGAGATCTGTATCAAATTTAATGGTGATCTTTTGAAATCCTATATATGGGTGTGGAAAGGTCCCACAGGATCATTACTCTTTTAAGATATTCAAGTCTATTTATATTATTTTTAAAATTTAAAATTTTATAACTAGGGATCAAAATAGATTTTCAAGTATTCCGACAATGGAACATCTCTAAACAAATTTTAGGTACAGGCCTTACAAGAACCTCACCCAATTAATACAACTCATAAGACTCCCTCCCTTTTCCCTCTTTCCGGAGTGCGACATTTTTTAATTAATTATAAATTAGGAGTAATAATAATAATGATGACATGTATGGATAGTTAGCTTCAACCGGTTTCACACATTTGGGGTCGTCCCCCTCGTTTCATGGTCGGTAATGGGGGGATTCTGATCACAATAAAAAGCAAGCAGCGCTTCCGTTTCCCTCATGTGTTAGGGGGTGGTGTCGGGTGGGGTGGAGCTCCTCCAAGTTCATGGATCGCAGTTCTCTAACACCTGCGGACGCCTGGCTCTCCACGCCTCAACCTTGGCCTTATTACCAAACCAAGGTAGCTACCCTTTCATTCTCTTAAATCCACGAACAATGCCCAACTCTCTCTCTCTCTCTCTCTCTCTTAAATGCGATCTCAGTATGAACTCTGGTTATTCAGCTTCTCTCTCTAAATAATGTGAAATCTAAGCTTTTCTCTCTCTTAACTTTGTGAAATAAAGCCGTTCGATTTCACTAATGGCTCTCTTTCTCTCTCTAGAGTGTCGAGGAGCTGAAGCAGTCCCTAATGTCCGCTGTACTAGAGCTTGAATCCACGCGAATGGCGGCCCGAGAGGAGCTCAGGAGGGGCGAGGAGGAAAGAAAGCGCCTCGCTTTACTCCTCAAAGCCGCCTGGGTAGAGAGAGATGAAGCCAAAGAAAAATGTCTGCAACTCCGCCAGACCCTCCTCCAAAGCACCATCAAAGAAAACATGGGCCTCCATAACCTGGCCGGATTCTCCGACATCTCCCCGCAAAACTCTGCCGGAAAATCCCACAAGGCTGGGGATTCCAATTCCAACACCACCGACTGTGAAAGCATCACATTCGTCTCCTCTTCTCCTAATCAATCCATCTTCCATGACCTCGATGACCCACTTGAATCTGACGCACCATTGCCGGAATCCAGCAAAGTATCACCGGAATCCGGCGCCCAACAATTGCCTGAGAAGGGGAAGCTGTTAGAAGCGGTGATGAAAGCCGGACCGCTCTTGCAGACACTGATGCTGGCGGGCCCTCTTCCTCAGTGGCGCCACCCTCCGCCTCCTCTCGACTCCTTCGACATCCCCCCTGTTGGGGTTGGAATTGGGATCCCAAACAACAATTCTTCTCCTTCATCAATGGCTATGGCTAAGAAAAGGCCATTATCCTCCTATTGTGATTACAGCATGGCCCAAGCACACGCCTCAAAGCACCAGAGGCTGGCTTAGCAGATGCACATGTTTTCTTTCTTAGGACCCCTGAATCGGCTTCGGATGAGGTAACAAACATTGTACTATATGCTTAATTTCCTGACTATAGCTGCCTGCTTCTAGTGTGGGGAGCGAGTGAGGAAGTGTTTTGGACCTTAATCATTTTTATTGATTTGTAAGGTTGAAAGAGATGGATTTATAATTAACGTGATTTTAGTTGCTGAGCTTTATTGACCTTTTCAGTAATTGGCTTATGCATGAATCTAAATTTCCATGCTTCTTTCTTTCTTCATTTTTTGTTTTCTTTTTTGTTTTTTTATTCTTCAGTGGTAGGATTAAAGTTTTGTCAAGAAGTGTTGCAATCGTCGGTACCTTTACCGATCAAGATCGAGCTCAAGCCCAATTACTTATTTTTTCATTTTTTGGATATTTTTATAAAATTTTTATCCTACTCTTTTTTTTTTATTTAGTTTTTTGGGCGGACAAGTGGGGGATGACTACCCCTGAAACTTATGCTACATGTATAGTATTTTAATAAATTTTTTTTTTTTTGTTGGAGTGAATCAATGGGGATTTGGCCCCTGAGTGAGAATCGGACAAGCGGGGGATGACTACCCCTGAAACTTATGCTACAGGTATAGTATTTTAATATTTTTTTTTTTTTTGTTTTTTTTTTTTTTGGGAGTGAATCAATGGGGATTTAGCCCCTGAGTGAGAAATCGAGTACGAAACTTCGTTATAGGGTTAAGTGATAGGGGAATATAGGCCTCTTCTAATTGGCTGATGGACCAAAAACCTCTTAAATTAGTGTCGTCAACTCCAAGATGATCACTTTCAGTCTCCTCTACAGCAAACGAATTTGATTTTGAGCTAAAAAGCAACAGCAATGGATTCGGAGTTTAGCCCTTTTTTGGACGTCCAGATGAAGTCCTTACGTAGACACTACAAAAAGCAATGGATTGGATTGGATTGCGTGAGAGGGAACACACTCCATCCATCCGTAAACCTTTTTCAGATATACATTTGAGTGTACACGGTACATATTCCAACTTTGAAACTAAACAAGTATTATTTTTGGACAATACTTTACTATTTTTGTATAATACGTTTTTTTTTTTTATATGAAATATTATACTGATATTTATGGTATTTATAGCAAAAAAAAAAAGAAAAAAAAGATACAGTTTCTAATAGATTTAGGCTTTATGAAAACAAGAAACCCCTCACCATGAATCATAGGAAAGTACTTTAGGCTGTGAACACTTATTTTTTCGTGAAATGGACGGTTTAGATAATGTGTTATAATGTATATTATTTTTTGGATTTGAATTCTAATTTTTTTTCTTTCACAACAACGTGGTCAAGGCCGAGTTGATTGATTTGAAGGTCCTCCGATGCTAGAACTACAATATTCGGTGAGTTTTAAGGTGAAACTTTACTTATTTCGATAGGGCTGCAGCCCAACACAACATTTACACCAAAAAAAAAAAAAACAAATGTAGAGGGAATGGAAAGAGCTTGTTTGATAGTTTCTAGAACCTTCTATTTGGCTCGTAGAAAATATTAAAATGTAGGCAAGCTTTTCCTCCTTTCAATAGAGAAATATATGCATTGGAATAAAAGACTAAAAAATAGAGTTCATAATTGGAAAAAGTTTATATAAGATTGTAATTTTAAAATATAGAATTACAGATGCACTTCAAAAGTCCATTGGAAAATGTTGTTTTAATGTCGAAAAAAATCTCTAATTGATCATCTTGAAATCAAGATATATGAATATGAAAAAACAAAAGATTTTGAGTCTTAAAAATTGTGCATCTTGCAATACATTATCTAGACAGTCTATTTTCAAGATTTTCATATATTTATAGATCTACTTGATTTTAACCATTTTTGAAGTTTAAAATTTTGTAATTGAACAAAAAAATAAATTTTGAGATAATCGTAAAAATATTTCTCATCAAAATTACATGTTAGGATAAAATTCAAAGGCGACACCGTTGATATTTTAGGTGAGCACAATATTGTATCATAGTGAGACCCACGGTCCCCCCGCCCCTTTCTGCTAATACAAAGATAGGTTTTTTCTTTTTGAACCTCTCTTTTTCTTTTGCCAACTTTTAGCGAAAAATTAATAAAAAATTGAAAATCGGATCTTTGGTTATTACCTTTGGTTGGTGTAGAATAATATTTTTACTTTTTTTTTTTTTTCCCTACTTTTATTCATTTTTGTCCCCACATTTCCCTTAACTTGGACCCTTGGATTCCTTTCCGGCAAAGCATGCGTTCACAGGATAAATGATGATGTTTCACTATAATTTTCTGGTGGCATTTGCTTATGATTTGACATAAAAGGGTGTGTGACATGGTATGGTAAAAATCAAGGGGATCGCCGTGTGTTCTCAATAATGAAGGGTGGAGATTGTTTGTAGTTCGATCTCCATGGTACAACCACTGAAACTGTCAGTTATTGAGAATGGAGTAATGACCCATTGAAATATTGCCGCATGTGTCCCAATAAAGTATATCATACCTCAATGGTGTATATCGTACTTGAGAAAGGGCAAAAAAAACGTACACCGTACATCTGTTGCGCTTGATATGTTGTATGATTGTCCGCTATCTGTTGCAACGGTGGGTGAAGATACCGGTTTATATACTATGAGATCATTTAACGTTTAATATAAAGAAGTTACAATTAGTCATAACTATTAGATGTCAAATTAGATGGTTTGGATAGTGTCATTAAATTTGAGATATTTTTTTATTTATTTTTTAACTTTAAGTCTAATTAATGACACTCTTTACCGACCGTTGATTTAAAAAAGAGCAAATTACGTAAGGACACTATTAGAGTAGAGTCAATTATAAAATAAACAGTCATTTGTCTGAAATTATGAGTAACACTCTCTTTTATATATATATAATATATATATTTTTTATTTTTTATTTTTCTTTCGTTCTGTCCGACAATGCAAATACTTAAAAAAAACAAATCAATTTTGTTTCAAAATAAAAAAGTTGTCCGGTGTTCCAAATCTCTTTGACGGTTTCCTTGTAAGGGGTGAAACCAGAGAAGAATGCCGGGAAGGGCTCCAAAGAGAGAGGCCGTACCTCATGCCCATTGCCGCTATAAAAGTCTCTAGAGGCGATCGAAAGAGAGAGAAAGAGAGGGGATACCTCATGCTCATTGCCGCTTTCAAAGTCTCTAGAGGGGATCTAGAGAGAGAGAGAGAGGGGGTGCGTGGTGAAATTAAAGCCTAAAGCCGTTTGCAATGAGAAAACCAGAGTGAAAAAATTCAACCACCTTGAGCTCCTCAATAACCCACATCTTGATATTTCAATTTCTCTCTCTCCTCTCTCTCTCTAAACTTGAAGAACTGTGAATTATAAACTAGAGAAACGAAAACAAGAAAAGGAGAAGACAATCTTATGAACTGTTAAATTGGAAGAATTGCAGGATGGAGAAAGAGAGAGTAATTTTGAGTAACATAAATGAAGACTGATTTTTACCTTAACAGTTAAAAAAAAAAAAAACAAAGAGTCTGATTTTTTCAGGTAAATAAATGAAAAGTTCAAAAAAACAAAAAAAAGTCTAAACTAGGGCATAGTGAGCATGGAAGAAAGCACCAGAAAACATCTTGATATTTCAATTTCTCTCTCTCTCTTTTCTCTCTCTAAACTTGAAGAATTGTGAATTATAAATTAGAGAAACGAAAACAGGAAAAAAAGAAGACACTCTTATGAACTGTTAAATGGGAAGTATTGCAGGATGGAGAAAGAGAGAGAGTAATTTTGAGTAACATAAATGAAGACTGATTTTTACCTTAACAGTTAAAAAAAAAAAGGAGTCTGATTTTTTCAGGTAAATAAATGAAAAGTACAAAAGCAAAAAAAAAAAAAAAAGACTGGGAATAATGAGCATGCAAGAAACAACCAGGAAGTATAGAGCCTAGGCTCTAAACAATCAAATTAGAGCCTACCTTCAAATAGTATTGAAAAATGTGGTTTCATTATTAGAAATCTTTGTGATAGCCTGAAAATATATTTTCATGTTTATTTATAAAATTTAAAGCTTAAAACATAGTGTAGTTCGATAGATTTATGCAAAGTTCAAAATCTTGAAAATTGATGGTCCAAAATTGTGTTACAAAATACACTATTTTCAAAACTTGAAATCCATTTTTATCTCATGTCTATGCATCTTAATATCGAGATGATCAATTTGAAGATATGAGCATCAAAACAACCTCCTCTAGTGAAAGTGTGATGCCCATGGAGTTATAGGAGGTACGCATTCCTCGGATTCCGAAAGGTTGTTGTCCTCTAGTTTTACTGCCAACAAATGTCTGGAATCTGACTTTTCTGGCATCTTTTCTGGCTTAATGGTGCCAACCTCGCATGGAGTTTCAGTGGTCATTCTTTTGTTTTCTCGAAGTTTCAATTTCAAGAGTTAACCTGGAAAAGAGTTGTTCATTACATGGAAACACTTAAAGAGCTGCCGGGTATTTCGAATACCACACAACTTTTTTATTTTTTTAAAAAATTAACCCTCCTCTTATACAGTATTTTCATCAACTAAAAAAAAAATAAGACGAGGTAGTGCTCGTAATTTCGAATAAATGAGTGCCCATTTGATAATTGACCTTCCCAATATTATTGATATGTAATTTACTTTAAATTTTACCGAAAAGAATGTTCGTGACCCATTATACCAAATGTAAATAATCTCTTTGTGTACTTTTCCTAAAGATATTTGGTTGAATGCCCATCATTGGAATCTGGGCCCAATCTAACCATTCATCATAACAAACCAATGGTGGATGCCTAAATAGTGTATGTACCTATAATCTTCGCTTCGTCAACCGGTAAAATTGTGATTAACTGTGCTGGTTAAATGTCCACTACAACAGTATATTGGGAACCATGGCCATCCACCATTTATCATCAATAATGGGCGGTGGAATAACATATGCCATATTTGTGGTGTATGTTGCCCTTTCCTTCTCAATATCAGAACTTGAATCTTCGTTAGCTTTTTGATCAAACATGATATTTTCCAACTCCCAAATTCCATCTCTCAAGATTCAAGAATGCTAATTTAAAACCAAATTTATAGAAGGTAAGAAAGGAAAAGGTGAGATAAATATGTCCAAGGAAAACGATTTGTCTTCCATTCTTCAAACAAACCGACATCGCTCATTTTCACGTATCTACCCACCAAACAC